ACCGAGGGATTTTAGCTCAGATTTACCCGGGGTCTAAAAATAGAGCTCCTTCTCGACATGACACTGTATCTTGTCCCCCTTATTTCAGCGCCACTTTCAGGGATTAATTTGACCTTTCCTTCACCAAAACACCTTCTTCTACCACTTCTCATGTTTCATTCCAACATCTCAACCTGACTTTGCATCTGTTAGGGAAAAACTTCCTCATGCAGGGCAGGAAAGATTTGAGACTGGCAGAGTCTCCTGCTGCAGACTCCATTGCTGATGAGAGCTTTATGTATTAATAATCCCCAGGCAGCTACAGGAAGCAAAGCAGGAGTGCTTGAGTTTGGTTTTTGATAGAAAAAAAGGGAGCAGCAGCAGTTGGGAAGGGGTGAGCGACCGACATGCACACAGAAGACCCCAGAGGGGGGCGGCGGCTGCAGCCTGTGTGGATTGGTCAGCCCTGAAGAGCTCCACCGTGATGTTGCTGAGTAGAGAAGCAGCCGTGGGTAAAAGAGGTGCTTCCTCCTGAACTGCAGCAAATAACTGAATGTCTCAGCAAAAACCTGTCACAGGTGGATCTAAGAACCTAATGTGGCCCAGATGTTCTCACTTTTCTTCTTTTTTAAAATGTTAGCCACGAAAAATTCCCTGGCTGTCAGGGAAGATTTAAAGATTTACTTTTTCATTAAATTTGCCAATATTTAATTCTAGATGAATACTTTTAGTTTCAAATCATACATATTTGGACCAGTGTATATCATTTTTGTTTGTTCTAGATGGCCACCAGGGTTGTTATGCAAAAGCTGATTTTTTTGCATTAAATTGCCAATCAGATGAATGTATTTGGTGTCGAATCATAACCTACATACGTTGAACATTTTTCAAAATGGCCTTCATGGTTATAATGAAGAGTATAAGTTAGCACTAAAATTGGCAGCAGTTATCGCCAGTAGCGGGCATAGCTAACAAAAAAGTTAGCTTCACTAATTCAACAAGTAAGAATCTTAGCTATGCTAATGCTAAACCAGTAAACAAACAGAAATATTAGCAGACCCTAATGCTAAACTGCTAAAAGCATATCAATGTTAGCAAAAGCTAATGTTACACCTAAAAAATGTTAAAATATTAGCAGAAGCTAATGCTAAAGTGCTAAATGCATACTAATGCTAGCAGAAGCTAATGCTGAACACAAATGAACAAAAGCTAACCCTAAACTACTACGCAAAAAAAAAAGAAATAATGAAAGCTAATGCTAACCATTAACTGACTCCCAGTCTGTGCCAGTTTTTGCTCCAGTTCAGGACTGATGTGAGACTCACAAACAGCAAAGTCCTCAGATTCAGATTTTGGTTCATTTGATCATTTTAAAGTTGCATGAATACGACGACCGAAGCAGAAAACATGTGATGCGACATAAAGTTCATCCAAGTTGTGAAAATGGGAAACATTTCATGACAATAATTGGTTTAAAAGGGCTTTTAAAATGGCCGACATCCTAAAATTCAAGTGGCTAAATATGAAAACAACCTTTCTGCTTGTTTCCATATTTAAAGATTCTTACAGGAATATTCTGTAATGACTCCATACCTGATTTGACCTCTGGCTATCGGTATTTTTGGTTGACTTTAGTTGCCTTTCTTCCACATAATCACTCAATCCTTCTTTATTTAGTGTGTTCCTACCATGACTTGCCCATAACACACACACACAGACACGGTCAGATTTACACTGAGAGGTGCAGAGGGTGGGGAGGTGCAGAGGGTGGGGAGGTGCAGAGGGTGGGGAGGTGGGGTGGCACTGCACTGGAAGGGGGGGTGACCGCAGTGCTTTGGCTCTCGCTGCAGTGCTCTGGTTTCTCCTGCGGGGGTCTCCTCGACACTGGGGGATGAGCGCTAGAGAGGAGAGAAGGGGAGAGAGGGAGGGAGGGAGGTGATAAGGACGGAACAGCGTGAAGCCTTGTGGTTACATCCTTTGATGAGGTACAGTGGCGTGTGGAGGGAGAAATGTCTGCAGAAACACACACACATCACACACACATCGCTGTTTTTTCCTCTAACATCCAGCTCAGCAGCAGCTCCGTCTCCCAGGTTCTGTTCTGTATTTCTTCCCTTCCTCTGCTCCAGCTATCTGTTCTCTGCTCTCCCTCCACCCCGCCACTCCTGAAGGTTTTGCACGTTTTCTGCCAACTGCCGTTTCTGTTCCGCATAGTCAGCACTCCTCCAAATTCCTCCCTCCTTCCCCCTGGATACTGCTGCTACCTCACAGTCAATGCATCCCATAATCTCCCTCCCTCCTCTTCTTCTTGCTGCAGTGTTTCTGCTAATATATATTAGCGTCTGTGCGGCGCACCGTGCTGCAGAAATGATCCCCTCTACTCAAATAGTCTTTTTTTGTTACACACATGTATGTCGTTTTGTCGTTTCTTTGTAGCCAGGTGAACATGTGTGCACTCCTCCTCCTGCTCGCTGTGTGTGTGTGTGTGTGTGTGGTGGCGCAGGACACAGTGGCCAACACAGGAAATGATACAGGAGAGAGAAAGTGTTGGTGCTGCAGGGTGGAGAAGGTGGAGGGGGGATTGTCCCAACCTTCATTTCTCAAATATTCCTGTGAGAATATTCTTTCCTTTTCTTGTTTTTAAGCCTCCCTTTCTGGACTTTTCTGGGTTTTTTCTTTGTTCCTCCTTAAAATCAGCCACATCCCATGTAAATAAAAGTAATTCTCTTCTTTTAAAGTCAACAAAAAACTTCTGTCCAGGATGAATTCTGATAGAAATCAATGAGCTCCTCTTGCCTCAACATGAAGGAACAAACAGACAGAACCGCAGTTACAGACTTGTGGCTGACCGTGCATAAAATATTCAGCAGTTCGCCCAATAAAGCTGCATCTGCAGCTGTAAAGTGCGAGCTGGACTGCAAAGCTGTAAAGTTGAACTGAAACTGAAGTTGTTTTCTTCAAGAAAAGTTGCTAAAACGATGAAACTTTTTCCAGAAGCTGCAGCAGAAAAGTTGAATGCAGCAGCGTGGAGCTGTCCGTGGTGCTGGACCGGGATCCGGCCCGGCAGCACAACAAACCCCCTCTGGACCAGGAGCAGAGCACAGTTTGACTGAGAGATATTGGCATTTTAATTTGAAATGTTGGCTCTGTTTCAATGTGTCTGCATGCAAACTACAGGAGTTTGGCATAAAAATGCAGAACAACTCAAACTTTGCAGTGCAAAGCAAGAACAGGCGAGAGAAACGGACTTATTCAACTTTTCTCACTTCTTCCTCTGAGAAATAACTTTTCTTTCTTTGATTGTCGACTCATGCAGAACGCTCGCTTTCAGTCGTTCTTACCTTTGGGTTGGAAAACTGAATCTTTCCTCTGGTTTGGGAGAAAAGGAAAAGTCTTGAAACGTAAAAAAAAATCTGTTTCTTCAGATGCAAAACAAAAAGTAAATAACTGTGAGAGAAAAGTAAAATAAGTTTGGGAAGCAGACAGAAGGAAATGGACTGAATCCAAGTGTGAGGCAGAGATGGAAGGAGAAAAGATGACAGCAAAGAGAGAGAAAGAGAGGAAGAGAGAGTATGTGAAGGGAAAAGGGCTGTTAAAAAAGAAGGAAGAGGTGAAGTCTTGATTCCTCTTCTTCAGTGAAATGTGACTCCTTTATGCGAAATACAAGAGTGAAAGAGGAAGAGAAAGTGAGGTAGAGAGAGGGAAGGGTGGAGGGAGGACTCACAGGAGAGGAAGAGGAGGAGGAGGAGGAGGAGGAGGAGGAGAGTGGTGCATTTCTCTGAATAGGAAAAAAAAGGTTAACAACATAAACACAGTGGGCTTTTTCTTTTCTTTTCTTCCTGCTGGGAACGCGTGTCTTTTCTGAAGCCCCTCCGGATTGCGAGGCAGCACACAGGCGAACAACCTGACCCACAGTGGGAGAACAGAGAGAGGGAGAGAGACAGACAGAGGGAGGGAGAGAGCAAATAACTCCTGCTTTTTACTGCAGCAGAATTCATTCACTTTTATAGTGCACTCTCCTTTTAGTGCTCTTCCTCCTGCTCACCCCTCTTCCTCCTCCTCACCCCCTCCTCTTTTTCTCCTCCATTACTACACAAGAGGCAATGTTACACGAGCTGCCCTCTCAATCTGCTGCATTCACTTTCTCTTTTCTCCCAGCTCAAAAATCTGATTTTCAGCCTCATCCTCTTCTTTTCTCACCTTCCTCTCTTCCTCTTTCAGCTCCCCCCCCCCCTCTCTCTCTCTCACGCACACATGGCTCAGTGCAGTGCAGTGCAGTGCAGTGCATGGGAAAAGTGGAATAATTGTGCATCGCCTGGATCTCGGTGCGGTCGGAGGGGGCTGCAGCAGTTTGTGTAGAGCAGCACAGGCTGATTGAGGAGATCTAACATTAGTACGGACACCACACTCTCTCGGGAGGCAATTAACACACACACACACACACACACACACACACACACACACACACACACACACACACACACACACACACACACACACACACACACACACACACACACAGAGCTCTGCAGCAACACGTCACAGAGGTATTGTGGAGGAAGGTGGGGAGCAGATCCCCGGTCCCCCTCTTTTTCTGTTTTTAAAATATTGAAGCTCTTATCTACGGTGGCCCGGTAGGAACACTGCCCCCCGCCTGAGCTGCGGTTAGAATCGAGATGCTGGATATGGAGGACTGAAGTGACAGTTGGAGGAATCAGATCTCATCATCTCTGTGGTGTCAACAAGCAGCCATGCGGATTCTGACTCACGCCACCTGCTTTCCTGCTTTCTCCCTTTTCCACGATGCTCGGTGCTGCAAACTACTTTGCGCCCCTCTGCACCCCCCCCCCCCCCGCAACTCCCACCCCCCCTGTTCTCCCTCCAGCTCATCATCATGTGAATCCATGTGAAACCTGCTGCTGTTGCTGTGTAATCCCAATCATGTTTATAATCCAGATCTATACATTTCTCCCCCTTCTCGTCGCTAAAAAACATTTTTCTGCCCTTTTTCTCTCCCGCAGACTCCTCAGACTCCTCCTCCCTCCTCCTCCTCCTCCCTTCGGGTTCTCGCATCCTCTCCCTCCTCCCCCCCACCCGGTGCTCTATGCTCAGTTCGGTGTGTGTATCCTCTTTCAAAGGGCGCAAGGGTGGGAACAAGTCGTCCAACAAAGCATGTTACAGCGCAGACATGACTTGTCCGTCGGAAAGCGAGAAAATCGTGATAAACTGCGGGGGGGTGCGGCATGAGACGTACCGGAGCACCCTGAAGACGCTGCCCGGGACCCGCCTGTCGTGGCTCACCGAGCCGGACGCCTTCAGCAACTTCGACTACGACCCCAAATTGGACGAGTTCTTCTTCGACCGCCACCCGTCCGTCTTCTCCTTCATCCTCAACTACTACCGCACCGGGAAGTTGCACTGTCCCAACGATGTGTGCGGCCCGCTGTTCGAGGAGGAGCTGGCCTTCTGGGGCATCGACGAGACGGACGTGGAGGCGTGCTGCTGGATGAACTACCGGCAGCACCGGGACGCGGAGGAGGCGCTGGACAGCTTCGAGACGCCGGAGCCGGAGGCGCCGGACGACGACCCGGCTCTGGGCGGCGCGGACGGGGACCTGAGGAGGCTGTGCCTGCAGGAGGACGCGCGCAGGGCGGGCTGGTGGAAGACCTGGCAGCCCAGGATATGGGCTCTGTTCGAGGACCCGTACTCCTCCAAATACGCCCGGGTGAGTCCCGCGGGTCTCCGGCTCGGTCCTCTGCACGGCTGTTGCATGTTTCCAAGAATTCGCGTGGAAACTTTGGTTTTTGTGAAAAAAATCTTCCATTCAGCCTAATTAGTGCGAAAAACAAGCCGTCGATATTAACTACAGGTCACTAACGGTTTGCATGTAATCTGACAGGATTAAGTGGCGGTTGCCTGTATTGACTTACTGATGCTGAATTATTAATGCTGATAACTTGAGGAAAAAATGGAAAATGGTTTGTCAGCCTTATAGTGTCTGTAATCCTCCTGCAAGTAAACCGCAGAAGGATGTCCAAAGACTCAAAGCAGAACTTATGAATATGTATTTAGTGCAGAAATGCGGTTTGGAGAAGATTTTAATGACGTTAACTGATGTCTAAAAGCGCCTGAAGGGAACCAGTGACAGTACTTCCACTGATACAGAAACAAAATTGAATGAAATATTTAAATAACTCTTCATAAAAATGTTTATTAATGTCTGAAAGTATCTCTCAATAAATCAAATTATGTAGAAGTGAAGCTAAAAGTGAAATGTGCCTGAAAAGACAAAGTCAGCATGAAGACATCTGTTGACTTCAAACTGAAACATTCACCATGAAGATGCATAAATGTGGTCTAAACGTAAAAATAAATCACATTTATTTGTATGGGCTGAAGCTTAAATGTAGCTAAAACACCAACAACGCTGACATGGAGCTTCGCCTCATCGCCGTTCACTTTTAACCAATTCTGTTATTCCCATTTGTTTCCTGTAGAGCAAGTCAGAAATATTCAAGAAAATTCAGCTTTGGAAGTTGAAATATTTCGGTGAAACAGTAACACGCACAGCGGTTTTCATTTCCTTTGTTGCCGATTGGCTGAAGAAGGGAAGACCATAAGATGGTTTCCACCGTGTGTATTAATGCACATTCAGATATATTTGGTGTTTCAGCTTTTAAAACAGGCTGCTATGAGGCTTTCAACAGGATGATAAGTATTTAGTCATTTGCAGCTGGTTGTGATTCCTAAATATGATCAAAATGTGAATGGGAATGTAGTTGACTTGTAGCTGTCTATTGGTGTAAAGATAAAGCCAAAAAGTACCAGATAACATCTTCATATTGGTTTTTGAAATGTGTTTGTACATAAGGACGCCTCACGAGTCCTATGGATGAAAAGTAGGTGAAAAGACGTTTCCATGCACAAAGACGTCGCTTTAGTTGGTTTTTGTTGTCCAGACTAAATTGGAAAAATACGTTGGTTGATTAAAGTCCAGTTTTCAATGCTTGTCTTGGAGCAAAATGAAGCCAAGCACCTTTAAAAGGCATAAATAAATGATACATTTTGGCTTTTAGTGAGTCAGATTTTGTGTTTCTGAAGGCGGTCTTCATCCATCTTTGGGATACTTGAGGTTGGTAGCCTACAACTAGTTGACATAGCTGCTAATGTGGTTAAAAATAATGATTTAAAGTGAAATGTTTTTAGTTGGTGGAATAGTTCCAGCCCATTTGTTGAACAGGTTTGATGCATTTACAGCTCTGGAATAAATGAAGAGTTCACTGCACTGAAGCCCATTAAAAACCTCCTGGTTTTTTCACCAAATACTGATTTCTGAGTTGAAACATTAGTGCTGTTGTTTCTAAATGGTTATGAACTTGTTTTCTTTGCATTGTTTTGACCATTTCTCATTTTCTGCAAATAAATACTCAATTTCGGACACACGTTGTCAGTAGTTCATAGATTAAAAGAACATTTTGCTTATTTATATAAATATAAAAAGTAACATTATAGAAACTGATGACTTTCCAGATTTTTTCCCAGAGCTGTATATAAGGATGTGATGCATCATCTTTCAAACACTTCCTGTATGAAGTTATTGTTGCATCGTTGGTAAAAATGTTCATGGATTTTTTTACTTTATCCTTAACATTTTCTCCTGAATGATACATGGTTTTCCTCTGGTTTTCTGTCCATTATACCCAACTTACTAGGGAAATATTTCCTGCTTTCAGGGAAACTCCTGATGAAATCCCTCCTAAGTGCTCTTGTTTTCAGACGTACAGGTGGAGAAGTCTCCCTGACTGGTTTTGATCTGCGCCGGTTCTTTTATTCTCAGCTTTCTGTTGCAGGCAAATCCAGCTGTTTGATCAGAGCTGCTGCTTCCTGTTTTTTATATTTCAAGTCACCCTCTTGTTGCATTCAATTATTTTCCTTTTACTTTAGTTTAATCTGTAAAGTCAGTGCAGCAGATTTCTGCAATTATTGATTTAAAATGAGATGAAAATAACTAAACTCCAAATTCAGCATAACTGCACATTCAGGAAAAACATCAGTGTCTCTGTATTTGTTTAAAACAAATGTGCATAACATAATCTATTCACTTTAATTTGAAAATAAAAGCAGGAAATACTTTCACTGCTGTAAAAATACTAAAATATTGAGTGTTACAGCTGTGGCGATGCTTTCTGTAATGTTTAAATGTTACTTTGTTTAACAGGCTTAAACAAAACTTTATTAAGTAACAGAGTTTAACGATATTTGTTGGTGAGCTTGCATTGTATTCAAAATGTTTGAAGAAAGCTTTGATAATTTTGAAAGGTCAACTTTGTAAAACCTTGGTTTAACTGGATACCAGTAACAGCCCTAATGCCGGATCTGTAATCCCATTTTGGGAGAAGGATCTGCGCTTGGCGGATCCGACGCAGACATGACTTCAGTTCTCAGCCAAAATGGTGGAAACTATTGAGCTGTTGTTGTCTGGGTTGGACCACCCAATCCGTCAGTCTGGACCTGGACTCAGACAGGAAGTGATTCTGTTTGACCCCCGATGGGATCAATTCCTCACCACGTCCAGCAACACCATGATTTTTATGATAAAAAAAAATTAAATCACGAGCGCAAAAGTCTTAAATTGCGAGAATAAAGTATTGCTCGGCTTACTTTTCGTAACTTTACTTATTTTTATTGTCGTAAAGGAGAGCTGCAAGTGGTGAGAACTCGATCCCAGAATCACTTCCTGTCTGAGTCCAGGTGAAGTCTGACTTCTTCTAAGTCAGCGGTGTCAAACTCATTTTCGTTTTGGGCCAAATTAAGGTCATGAAAGCTCTTAAAGGACCGGTTGTGCCAGAATGTATTGATACAACTTGATCACAAAATGTTAAAACATCAATTAATTCTTAAAATGAAATAATAATATTGATAATCTTTTCAGTCCCTCCAGGACTTTGTGATACTTTTTGTGATTTTTGTGGTACTAATTTGGAAATATTTGCGATATTTGCTCTTATTTTTGACGGTAAATGTGACGTCTTATTACTTGCTGCATAGATCCTGGACTATAAACCGCCATTAATTAAGGCTGAGGCAGCTGTTTAGTACAAGTAAGAAAGTTTTTAACAATTTTTGAGAAAAATCTGCAATAAACTCCCAATTATGTATTAGCACAAAAAAGTGCAGGGATTTGTTAATTTTGCACGAATTTACACAATATTTAACCACACTTAGTCTTTAGTCCAGGACCCGGGGGGCCACATAAAAAACTACGACAGACCAAATTTGGCCCACGGGCCTTGAGTTTAACTCATGTGATCTAATATCATCATCTGTGGCAATAAAAATTAGTCATTCAAAGATAGGGATCTACTAATTCTCAGTTTGTTTTGGTTTTTATCAATGATCATCAGGTCAAATACTGAAAGAAAGTCTCATTTACTAAATGCATAAAAACATTCCAACTATTTTGACGCTTTGCATGGGACTCAGCTTGTGCTTCATGTTAGTCAAATTTGGATAAACGTGTCCTTGGAATAAAAAAAACCCCTAAAATATCTTGAGACCCAGCAATCGGTTTCAGTCAGGAAAAGTTGGATTGGTGCGTTTTTACTCCAGTGTCTAATGGGATGAAAACAGCTTCCTGGTTTGGACTTAAACATGAAAACATCTGATCTGCTTCACGTCACTCCATCAGCTCCATGTTGGCTGCAGGACCTGGCGTTGTGGCGGCGTTGTGGCGGCGCTGTGGGGTTATGGGGAGTGCAGAGCAGGTGTTGGGTGGAACTGATTTGGACTGAACTGGTTCCGTTTCTGGGTGAATTTAGCCCCGTTTCACTGCGTCCTTCCATGTATGTCACACAGTGAAGTGACCCCAATCAGGCTTCGTCCTCACTGCTCCTCCGACACGCAATGTGAAGAGATTCTACCTTTTTTATTCTCTCTGTGGTGGAAACTGAATGTAAAAGCAAAAAAAAAAAAAAAACCAAGGTGATTCAGACAGAAAAAAAAAAGAAATCCCGATGTGGAAATGCACCAAAGGCAGATGAGAGAGAAAGAAGGAGCTGAGAGCAAACATAAAGAAAGATGGGGGTGGCTTTACTCAAATGATTTCTATGTGTGTGTGTGTGTGTGGTGGGGGGGGGGGTGATTGCATGATTGTGATGTAATGCAGAAGTAATCAATGTTCTGATCGGAGCGATTTACCCTTGGGTTTAGCTTCATTTTTTTGTTTTACTCCCTCCTTCCTAATTTCACCTTCACCGCTCATGATGGCGTGAGGCTCACGCGCAAAATTCACCGTAGTACTGCACACATGTAGAAGCATATATACACACAAGCTGGTGTTTGTGCTGGCTTTTCTGCTGCAGTAGACAGGAGAGAGAGAGAGAGAGGGAGGGTGAGCTGGAGGAAGAGGGAAAAAGAGGCGGAGGGGGCATGAAACGGGAAATGGAGAAGGGGAGAAAAAGGACTTAAGCAGGAGCCTGAGAGGGGTACAGACAGGAGGAGAGGCGCTGTGTGGTGGGGGTGGGGTCCTTCTCTTCTCGTAGCATCTTCGATTATCGGTAAAGGTTTGAGCCATCCAATCTTCCCCCCTCTGCCTGCTAATCGATTGATGTTTCATTGACTATCTGCTCTTTTTGCCTCCGAATGTGAGCGGCTCATTCTGGACTTGTAGAAAGTAAAGCAGCTGTTTAACGGAGGCGTCTCAGCTGCGTCGGATTGAACCCGGCG